CTCCCCCCCGCCGCGTCGCGAACGAAGACTCCTCTGCCTCCCGCGCCCTTCGCATGCCCGATGACGACGATGAGGAAATGATGCCCCTTTCCTCCTTCTCCAGCAAATTCGGTAACTCGAGCTTTCTAGTGGATTCTATCCCAGTGGCTGAGTTCCAGGGACGGCCCCTCGCCGACCACCCCTCGGTGAAGAACGGCCGCCCGGCCGGCGCTCTGACTATCCCACGTGACCCGCTCGACGCATCCACTGTCGCGGAGGCGATCAGCGTGGTGTCGTGCTGGTACGAGGACAAGACGGAGTGGGGAAACAGGGTTGGGTGGATCTACGGCTCGGTCACGGAGGATGTTGTGACTGGCTACCGGATGCACAACCGTGGTTGGCGCTCCATCTACTGCGTCACCAAGCGCGACGCCTTCCGTGGTACCGCGCCCATCAATCTCACTGATCGGCTGCACCAAGTCCTCCGTTGGGCCACGGGTTCGGTAGAAATATTCTTTTCCCGCAACAACGCGCTGCTTGCAAGCCCAAAGATGAAGTTTTTACAGCGCATCGCGTACCTTAACGTCGGTATCTATCCCTTCACCTCTTTTTTCCTCATCGTCTACTGCTTCCTCCCTGCGCTCTCGCTCTTCTCCGGCCAGTTCATTGTGCAGACGCTTAACGTTACTTTCCTCGCATACCTCCTCACTATCACCGTCTGCCTATGCCTGCTGGCCATTCTAGAAATCCGGTGGTCGGGCATTGAGCTTGAAGAGTGGTGGCGCAACGAGCAGTTCTGGCTCATTGGCGGTACAAGCGCCCACCTTGCAGCCGTGCTACAGGGTCTTCTCAAGGTCGTGGCTGGGATTGAGATTTCTTTCACGCTTACTTCCAAGTCTGCTGGAGATGAGAATGATGATGAGTTTGCAGATCTCTATGTGGTTAAATGGACATCGCTCATGATCCCTCCGCTCACCATCATGATGGTGAACTTGATCGCAATAGCCGTGGGGGTGAGCAGGACTATCTACTCGGTGATACCGCAGTGGAGTCGGCTACTTGGTGGAGTGTTCTTCAGCGTATGGGTGCTTGCTCACCTCTACCCATTTGCGAAAGGGTTGATGGGAAGGAGAGGGAGGACGCCCACGATTGTCTTCGTTTGGTCGGGCCTTATAGCCATCACCATCTCGCTGCTCTGGGTCGCTATCAATCCCCCTTCGGCAAATTCTCAGATTGGTGGCTCCTTCTCTTTCCCCTGAACATCCCCTTCCTCGATTCTCCC